TTTCTGATTTTTTCATTCGTTCTTTCTCTATATCAAAATTTGTTTTGATCTATCTAATGACACTGTTTCTCGCCACTTTCTGTTCGATTTAACTGAATATATTTTTTGTCCCGTGAAAAATAGTGAATATTACTGATTTTTATCACTAAAGAGAAAGAGATTAAGAGATTTGAGGAGCAAAGGGTTATGAACAATAGTTGTTATTGCTGACATTAAAAGATACAAAATGAAATATATGATATCTATATACATGATGACAAATGCTAAAAAATCATGAAAGTGAGAGATGATATGTTTTCATCAAACTAATACAAAGAAATGATATGCTTTCCGATAAGATTGTATAATTCTTATTTTAAAAAAAAAGGATATGAGCATTTTCTTGCATTCTCAGTGAAARCAATGACAATGCATCCTTTAGCAAAGATTTTGAAATAACCATGAATTTCGGAAAAAAAAAATGCCATACACGTATGATAAGGAAAGCAATAATAGAAAAATGGTGTGAGAACGTAATCGTTGGTGTTTGACATTGACTTGTGTGTCATTCTTCCTAAAAGCAAGGTGGGAGATAGAGTTTGTCAGACGAAAAGAAATTGAAAAACTACTTTAAACATTTCATAAAGGGAAAGCCATTAGAATAGATAGTGATTGCCCTGCATATGACTGAATAGCTTTCACTCTCTTGTTTTGTCTCTGTTGTAGCTCACCTAAATCATCATAATTCATAAGACATAAAAACTTAATGAGGATCTTGGTCTTCATTAGGGGAATGTGAATATGTGATACAGTTCACAACTTATAGGAAAGTTGAGGGATGAAAATACACAACGTTACCTTTGCTTAGTGATGAGACGTATAGTGATGAGCAGGAGGAGCATTTTCAATCCATGGGAGATTTCCAGAGGATGCGTCAGCGTCTTTTTGTCTTAAGAATCGTTGAGAAATCCATATGAGTAAAACTGTAAACGTGTCGAGAACAAAAACAGATCACCATGTATGTATATCACCCTCAGATATTAATTATTTTGTTTCCAGAACAAAAACAAATCATCATGTATGTATGTGATTATCGATAATCAGTTCTTAAATTAGTATGAAAGGGTCAACTATCAATACTATTCTACAAAAATAAGAAAATTTTGTAGTCCTCATGTACGTATGTGTTAAGAAAAATAAGAAGAAGATGAAGATTAATCAATTGCAGATTTAATCACGGAAAAAAGAAGAACTGGCACTTTTACAAACAATTGTGAGTAATTTTTAAAGCTTTAAGAAACATAGCTTAACTCAATATCTCAAAGATCTAAAAATGCAAAAGGCCAACGATTAAAACTTGTTTT